TATTGAATGTTTGATAAAATTGAATTGTACAAAACGACCTATGTGAAAGAATGACTGTTAATATTCTCAATTATTAAGGTGCTCTTCAGATATTGTTTATTAATAATTTTAAATTTAATATGTATATCATTAATATTACCTAATGCTAAATATTTTTTCATTACTGTTTATTTAAACTAAATACTAATTACAAAAGCAAGTCAATAAACCATATCATAGAAATGTTATTATATTTTTTTTACGATTGTTCTAAACAACATATTATAATAATATGTTATGAATTTTATGGACTACCTATCTAACTAATCGTCTGATTAAAAAAAAAAAAAAACTTTAGCATTACAGTATTGATAATGGCACCGTATTGTAAAGTTAACTGATAATTACTATGATCTATATTTTAACAATACATACAAACATTACAAACTATTTCCCAACTCCTATAATTAAATTACCTATATCAATATGATATAAATATAAATATATAATTTTTACAGAACAAAATATTTGTTTCTAAAAACACAAGTATAAATATGTTATTCTGAAAGTACAGTCCATGGCTTGAAGCCAATTGGCATTAATAAATTACACTAAATAAATTATGATGACAAATTAAAATAATTTAATTTTAAATAAATAATAAAATCATAAAGGTTGGTGTTATTAGTAAAATACATATTAAAAATAAACTAAACATTGTTATTATTATAATATAGGAACTTCGAGATACTGAAAACTCGAAAACATTACATTATTTATAATTCAAACAAAATATATCAATATAAACTTAGTGTTTAATTTGGCTTACTTATAAATTATATAGATTTATACTTAATGAGCATTTATACAATGTGATTCTAGAGTTGTATTTATTTATCGGACAACATTAATGTATAATAAATGATAATAAATATTTCTAAAATTAAAACACTATCTGATGAAGGCATTCCTTAATAAAAATATAATGTTAATTTAACATAATATAAAGAATTTCAATATTATAATTTTTGTTTCTAAATTAACCATCACATAAGGATTTTATGCCTTGACCAAAGCATTTATGAAAAATAATAACCTTAAATTATGTTAAATTAAACATCAATTTGGTTTTATCACAGTTAATGTATAAACAAATATGATTTGATGGATAGGTACATAACAAAAAAATAATACTGCAACTTAAAGCTCTTCATTAAATTGTTTATTTCTTCTTCGCCTTTTAGCTCTACTATTTGATAGAAGTTCACATGCTTGCTGTACTTCGAAGAATCGATTTTGCACATCTTTCTTAGTTACATCATCTTTAGCTTTATCTGGATGGTATTTAACTGCTAATGTTCGACATTGATTTTTTATTTCAGTTTGTGTAGCTCCTGATCTTAATTCCAGCACCTTAAATTTAAAATTTAAAATAATAAATATGGATTATTATAAATTGTATGAACTATAAGAACACCATTTTAAATTTTTAGCTCCAAACTAATGCTCATGAATAGAATACAGATTTTTATGCACTAAAAAGTATCATAAATAAGCAGTAAATATAAATGAAAATATACAAAAGGAAGTTTGGTAACTTAATTAGGGGGACTTAATGCAATACAAAACTTTCCTGGTTAAATTGCTCAACAAGATTATGAAAAAGRAAGTTAACTTCTGTTAAACATGATAAAATTGATATAGGTTGACCAAAAACAAAAATTTTGTCAATAAATGGTAATAYTAAAATTGTCTTCTTGACAATATATTAAATTAAACATTAATTAGATTTTGAAAATAGTAAAAATTTAACTTCACTCATCATTCATTCACTCAAATGTTCATCAAACACCTAAATATTTAAAAAAAATAATTCTCATTAATTTGAAACTATTATGACTTATAAAGAAAACTGACAAAAATCCATCAATGTAAAAAGGAAACAAATATACAATTGCATAAAAATCTGTGCCACATTCATAAATAATAATGTTGTCAAAGTGTATAAAAATTCTACATTTTAAGAATTCATWCAATGTTAGTTTCATACATTTTAAATAAAATTTTATCAAATAGTGTAATCTCACCTTAAAAGCATTTTGTTCACCCGAAGGATCAGATAATGAAACTATTTGTCGCCAAGTCTCCATCCACCCATGTTGTTGTGCAAATTGCCATACATCAATAAATGATTGTTTTACGTCTAACCACCAGGGTGAACTGAAAAAATGACCTAGGGCCTCRTGGAATGGTACTTCGTCTCCATCTTCATCAGTCACTTTGGCGTTGAAATATAAATAACTACTCCATAAAGCCATGTATAACAAGCAGCACATACTAATYACAATGATTCGCCTGAAAATTGTATTAGRTAAATAAATAAATATTGAACAGATAAATTTGAATATGATTTATACTTTTATTGAATTCCTATTTAATTATAAATTCTTACAATATTATTTTTCATAAAAATGCTTACTTTAAGGTGCCTGGGGTCTTTTGGTTTTTTGGTCTCCACCGTTTTTCCAAGTGATCAAATGACCATGCTGCAGATAATATCATTATGGCGAATGATGTAGATTCATCAATGTCGTAGCCCCATTTATCAAATATAAATGATTTCAATGGATTACCAACCATGGGTATAAAATATGCACATATTAAAGGCCATTTAATGGATCCCGTTTCATGACCAATATTTCCCACAGCCCATACACCTAAAAAATTAATCAACAATATTTAATACTATACATACTTGGTAAAAATGCAATTGATTATTTTAAAAATTTAAGAATTCATATACCTATGGAATCTTATTTCTATGGTTTTAAATGTACTTGTATATCAATTAAATATTACAATAATACTGTATGATGTACTTAGAAATAACAAAAATATATAGTTGTAGAAAAAATCATTAACTCCATGATGTTACTATTTAGAATATAAATTATGAATCACTTACCTAAAGCAGCAGCTAGAGGAGTAAATATTTGTAACCATTGCCAGCTAAGACCTGCGACATTATCTTCAGGTATTGCTAGGGATACAACGGTACTGAAAAGATAAGCCACAACTACCATACCAGTGAATCGGACCGTAGAAAATGGTGGCTGAAATATAATATACAATGTCAGAGATTTTAGTTTAAACTCATAACAATAATTTTATAATAACTATGCAACAACTAATAATTAAATTATAACTTATAATTAGCCATTAATATAAATTATTTTCCATTAGGTTGAGCTATGGCCTGTGATTTGGTAATATATTACCTAATTAGKTTCCTTCTTAGAACTGTAACTAATCTTACAATTTACAACAATGTCAACAAAACATTATACCTACAATAATATATAATAATAATATGTAAATAATAAATATTGTTGTACTAGGTTATAGATGGTTATATTATAGTTGGGATATGCTTTTAAGTTATTTGTAGTTCATTCTTGATTAGGAGGTATCTTACACATTATTTTTATTTTTTAATGAATAA